AACATCCCAACTGTCAGTAAGCCCTAATCTCCAAGCAGATATGGGGTGGTAGATTGTAACACACTGTCAGTAAGGCCTAATCTCCAAGCAGATATGGGGTGGTAGATTGTAACATCCCAACTGTCAGTAAGCCCTAATCTCCAAGCAGATATGGGGTGGTAGATTGTAACACACTGTCAGTAAGCCCTAATCTCCAAGCAGATATGGGGTGGTAGATTGTAACACACTGTCAGTAAGACCTAATCTCCAAGCAGATACGGGGTGGTAGATTGTAACATCCCAACTGTCAGTAAGCCCTAACCTCCAAGCAGATATGGGGTGGTAGATTGTAACATCTCAACTGTCAGTAAGCCCTAATCTCCAAGCAGATATGGGGTGGTAGATAGTAACATACCAACTGTCAGTAAGACCTAATCTCCAAGCAGATATGGGGTGGTAGATTGTAACATCTCAACTGTCAGTAAGTCCTAATCTCCAAGCAGATATGGGGTGGTAGATTGTATATAGTATGTAGTGTTTTACTTTATGAAACATATTTATAGTGTGATAATAAGTACACTTGTTTCTGATGTAGTTTACTTTTGAATTTAGATATTTAGACCAAACACAAAAATCTTACCCAATACTTTTTCTGATCATGTTTGTAGAGCAAATAAATGTCTCACAACAATGATTTATTTCCCTGAGTCTTTATTTCTGTTGTATATAGATTAGATATTTGAGAACATGTAGAAATATTATCAGGATCCAAGCAGATGTTGGGTGTGACTACATTTACTACACATACTGGAGGTTTCTTTTCAAAATCCATGATAAGAACTTGAAAATACATGTATTATAACTGAGTATTTTAATCATAAATGAGATATAAGAGCTTTATTGGGAAGAAAGGGTGCGTTTTTCAGCATTAATCGCTTTCGTGAACACTGAAATGGCAGAAATATTGACCGAAAAAAGCTCCGTATTCAGCCGCTCATACCAGCCGGTCAAGGAACGTTTGTCTCAAAATGAACAGACACAAGAGTAAAATGGTTCTTTCCCAATAAATTCATGATATTTCTGCAGTCGGGAGGCGTCTTAGCGTCAAGAACGAGAGCTGGAAAGACCAGAAGTAAAACCCCCTTAAGAGCCCATCGCGTTTCCCCACTCGCGAAATGGCCAAATCTGGGAATGATTAGCTTCGTTAGCGAGATACGGGCCTTTTCAGAACGGGGACCCGAAAACGGGGATGTGATAGGGGATGAATATCCGCTTTTTTAATTTAAGAAAAATGAAACTTTTGACGTTTTAGGTGCTCCTATTTTCGGAGTATATTTCTTACAGTCTCTATTATATTCCTGCTTAAGGCCGTCGCCCAAATCCGCATAATTCTTTAGTTATACGTAAAATTGTGTTTTTGCGATCAGCTGATCGCTTGCAGAACTGGTCAAAACCTTTGCAGAAGTGAACTTTTCGCTGTCGAACACATTACCATATGAATGAAAACCAAGCAGAGGTTAGGAGGAAAGATCGTCACTTTTGCTCGCATGGATTATCATATGAGAGCAGACGCCTATATCTATAAACAGCGCTTCCCAGGTTAGATTCTAAGGGCATTGGCGTGACAAGTCGTACAATAATGATAGAACCGCGCTGCGTGTATGTGAATCTGGTGTGTTACAGGTAAGAAATTTTTCTAAAACTTGAAAACTTGAATTTTCTTCTAGCTGCTTGAGATACGTATAGAAATAGGCTGATTTTATTCCATGTTGAAGAAGATACATTGGTATGGAGTATGGAAACAACACCCAAATAAGGCAAGACGCTAATTATTAGCTCACCTGAAGTTTCTCACCTGGTCAGTATCTTATCATAATTTACCCAGCAAGCTTAGTCTGCTGCTCAAGGGTTTGCTCCTTAAAACACAAACTTTAGGGAAATACAAAGATAAATAAAGTAAAACATGGAAAGCTATCTGTCTACTAGTCCTTAGGGGGCTCCTGTTGCTGAAATACTGATGTTGGACATCATTTTCTTGCTTGTTTTGATAAACAAGGCTACACAATCAGACCACAAACAAAAGTTAGAGAGAGCTACTCCGGACCCCTTGGCATGGCATCTTGTGGTCATGTTGTTCCGAAGTTCGGAATAACAGCCCCCGTTTTGGGGATGGTGGCGGCTCAAGTGAGTCGTCACGTACGAGCCTTGGACGGCTGAGCTGAGCTGTCCTATGGCTTAGGAGATCACTACTTCTCTGTCTGGGAAGCTAGTGTCTCAGAAAACTGGGCCCTTCGCGGTGCCCTTAAGGCCGGTCTGGCCGCACCAGACTGTGCCGCATGACGCCACGTAACACAATGTTTCATTATGTCGGACTTATAACAAAAATGGAGCAAAATCTTCATTTATAAGTTCATTTTACCCCACAATTTCCCTGAACCCTCTAGCCCTCCCCTCAATGGCGGGTTTAATATCGTTTCGACCTGTTATTTCGACCTGTTTTACCCCAAACCCCTCCTACACCCAGGCAAATCTTTACACTACTTCCACAGGAGATATCTTTCGTTCGTGGGACTTAAGTTGGATAAATTATGTTCATATACACCTGTGCAGGTGAGTGTAATTAACCTGAATATATTAAATGTTGGGCTAGTACACAAACAAGACCAGAGGGACAGAAAATGGAAAAGTATTCTTTATTTTTAAAAGTTTCACACGTTACAAGAAGAGAAGACAAAGGGTATTGCATCTACGGGATCTCTTCTTATTTTCATTCTAACTAAATTTGTAAAAAGGACCAGTAAAATAGCAAAAAGGAACAATAATTGACGTAAATGCTAGATCTGTACGTACATGAGCTCCCCTGTTTGCTGTATGCAAATCGGTGGTACATGACAGGGTTATGACAGAATTACAAGGATTACAGCAAGATAGTAAGTACAAATGTATATTTACTTTGTAACATACTGAAGTCAAAGAGCCAAATTATAGCTCTACACAAATATATGACTATAAACATGTTGTATGTGAGACTTCCTGTAGTTTGAATATTTGGCCTGTTTTATGGTAGACCGAACCAAACAAACATAGTAAACCCAATGAAGGGTGCACTAAACGAGAAATCGTACAATACGATTACTCACAGCAAAGTTTACAAAACATCTTTTTACTTTTAAGTCCGCGTACACCACTTCCACAGAGCGCATCTTTCACTTGTGGGTCGGACACCAAAATGGCCATTTGGGTAAATTATGTTGATATATATCGGTAACACAGGTGATCGTAATCAAGGCTCAAGTATTAACTGCTAAACTGTGAGAATATTACAGTCTCATATATTACAGTGTTCCTTAGTCTTGCACAGTACTGTACTCATATCCAAGTTTCCATAAGAAATAATCACATAAATGTTCACCATAGCTAAGTCTATTACAATAAATACCTGTATTTGTGTGTTTTACAACAGCAAAATGTCTGCGATTCCCTCGAACTTCTGCACCGGTCCCCCAGCAGCAGGAAGATGTCAGATCTGGCCATGGGTTCGCCTGGACAAGCTCGGCAACCGGCACTACAGAAACAACAACAACAGTTGATCAACAGGAAACTTCGATATGATCAACCACAAACCTCTATAACATGTTTCCCTAGTGGAGTAGATATAAACAATCCGAGCCAAACAAATCCACAACAAACTTTGCAGAACCGCAGAACTTTCAATCTGGCCACATAAACGGAACAACAAGATACACACCTGCATACCTGGGCCTCTTCGCTTTCCAAAAAAAAAAAAGCAGCGGAATCGATGAATTCTGTCGGAGACGCGCACACGCAGCTCACACCTCTGCGGACTCACCTGGCCTTAAAATAAACAAACATGAACTTTCTAACCTTTGACATGACCCCACAGTGGTACCTGATACATGTATAGAGTGTCGCGGTATATCGCACGTACTGTGAAGCGCACTTGCCGATGACTCTGTTCTAGTTAGCACCGTCATTATCCAACAACATAGATAGATAATTCTACAAAAGTTGTCTGTTTCTAACAGTCCTTGTTAGCATAGTGGTCGTTTTGCTCCGTTATATGGCCACGCTACATTCTTTTTTACTGTATATCTTCCACTTTTCTCCATCCATCGTTATAAACGGGCTGCACCTGACCGCGACACGGTCTTAATTTAGCGCCGCCCAGTGGCGGCTAACGGTACTGCAACCACCGGCCTTCATCTCCCGCTGTCATAAACGGGCTGTACCTGACCGTGACACGGTCTCAATTTAGCGCCGCCCAGTGGCAGTCGAAGGTACTGCAGCCTCTTTCAGACTGCACCTATTAAACCACCCCCGTTAAACTACACCTGTGGCCCTGCCGCTACACCTCCTGCCGGGCCGCTACATCTCCGGTTCGGCCGGCCCAACACCAACATGTACCGGCCCGGCCGGAGGTGTAGTTTAACGGGGGTGCTAACCGTGACTCTGACTTTTAGCCAATGAAAGGCGTCTGCAAACTTCGCATGAAGGAAGCAGGGCGTAGAATTCCGCAAAAATATGGTCCACAAGGCCAGAGGAGCGAGTACGCCGTTTACGAGGGTCACAGTCTGATGGCTAATGGTGACGAGGAAGGTCAGTGACTGCAGTACCTTCAGCCGCCACTGGGCGGCGCTAAATTGAGACCGTGTCACGGTCAAATGCAGTGACGGTGAGAGATGTAGGATTTGGCTGCACTAGCTTAACCCACTGTGAGCTTAACCAGTTACGGTCAGGTACTTGTTATGGTACATCCATGTAAGCCAGTGGTTGTAGTACCCTTATCCGTCACTGGGCGGCGCTAAATTGAGACCGTGTCACGGTCAGGTGCAGCCCGATTTGCTTTGGTGGATGGAACCCAGAGACTGCAGTACGTTCATTCTTTACTGGGCGGCGCTTCTACTAAGTGAATGCAAAATGCTATTATGGTATTAGCAAGGAGTCACCGCGGCTCACTCCCTGGCCAATTATATTTTTATTCACCCTATTTTTGCCGAAATTCATTATCCATAATCCCTAAGGAGGGCCGAGTGGAAGCTAACCTCTTGCTCTATATATTTTGAGGCAACTACTAGTAAGTGCAAAATAGACTAAAATTGTGTAGTTACGCCATCCATGAAATTAACTTGGTCTGGCCTAATGAGTACATCCACTCTGCATCACCCCCATGGCGTTCCACATGGACTGATCGGTTACGTTACCATGGCGACGCCGACGCCCCGTTCTCCGTCCTTTGGCGCGGTTGACGTCAGGACAGGTGTGCCGTGCGTCGCGTTCTCTCACCTGTACGTCAGGTAAGACGCCCGTTTGTAGTCTCAGTCCGACACACATACAGGTAACGATTCTGTAAGGGATTTGTTCCTCCCGTGTAAAACGACTTGTAGCCGTGAAAGGGGGTCAGGTGAAAATTATTTCCTTAGTAACTTGAGACCACATCGATTTTTCACTCTGCGTCTTTAAGTTTGCGCAGCCGGACTTAAGGGGCGAGAAGCACACGTGAGGAACTTCAGAAGGCGAGTTTGACCTTTGGGAGGGACATAAGAAGGAAACACGCTCTTAAAGGGTTAAGGTAAGAACACAAAAGTCCAGGATACGTCAAAAGTATGACTAACGTGTGACAACTTCTGGTCGAGGGACCATCGCTTCTGTTACGTCGGTTTTTCGTCCGTCAGTTTTCAGCGAGGCGCTTTGACAGAGCAGATCGTGGACAGGGAAACTTACAACAGGCAGCCGAGTTTCGTACGACACATCCACGACTGATACTGTCCGGAGTTTGTCGTGAATCGGACGTAAGTGACGGTGGTTTGGGTAGGCCAGACAAGCTCCCAACAACCACACTTTAATTCCGCCTCGAAGCGTGCCCAGAACTTTCTAGTCATTTAGACTTGTTTAGTGTGTTTTGTTTGCTCTTCAAAATGTACAGTGTTCGATTGTTCTTTTCCTTTTCAAACCTGACAATATGTATGTTGAGCTGCCAATCGCAAGTTCTATAATTGTATCTTCCTCTCAATTTCTTATCCTCAATCCTAAAAAGCCTGTTAGAGAATATTGTACTACTAGTCTAAAGCTCCGGGGGAGGGTGGTCACTAATTACTGATAATAACAGTCGAGTATACAAAACACCGAGGTGTTCGGGGCAGAAATCTCCAAGCAGAGGTTCGGTTTCAACTCTTTCTTCGTCTCTAGGGACTGTTTCGCTCTTGTTCTGTTCTGTGCTCGCTATTTTTGTGTGGGAATTTTTCTCTTTAGCAAAGCGACGCAAGAAATGAACGAAGAAATTTACAAAAACACGGTCCGCACCTCGCATCTGCTTGGAGACGTCCACAGAGCGCGAAGGCGCGGAGGGATGTTATGTAAACAGTCCGTCTGAAACCGTATCCCTCCGCCAGGCGCTGGAACGAAACGTAACACCGCGGCAGGTGACGTCCGGCGGCCAATCGATATGAGAACGGCAAACAACAAACACACGAGTTCGCAAACAGTCGGTTACTTAGACTTTAAGTGGAAATCTGGTCAATAACAAGCTTCGACCCGCTCACAAAGTACGCAGTCGGAAAGACAAACTAAAAGCCTCAGATTGGAAAGAAAGGAAGTGGAAATAAAGAAAAGGAAAAAGAAAGAAAGAAAGACGAGGAAAGAGGGAAAAGAAAGAATAAAGAATGAATGTAGAAATAAAGGAACAGAGTCTGAAATAAGTTAGAAGGAAAAGCAAGGTACAAAAGTTGGCAAAGTTGTAACTAGGGTTCACCAGGCTTACTCTGATTGGACTAAAAGTTACGGAGGTTTTTTGGCGACGCCTCTGGGGCGGAGCCTTTTGTGTAGCTTTTGTGTTGACCTGCAGATGTTGTTGTGTATCTTCTCCACAGGCATGCTGGGTAGAACAGCGCTGAGCTAGTGACGATGTCGCGTCTGCGGAGACAAGTGGACGAGGAAGAAGTCTTAGACGTTCTCGACGCGAACCAGCGCCTGTCTCAGCTCATCCAGGGCGTCTGGGAGGACTACTCCAAGTTCAAGGTTAAGGAGCGCGAGTTCATGTGCGAGCTTGACGGCGTGTCGTTGTCCAACGGGTACACGAGCCTGGTGACGGTGCGGATGATCCGGGGGCACGTGCAGCGCTACCCGGACCTCCACCCCAACCTGCAGACATTCCTGCGCATGTACGACAGACTGAAGGACGACGGAGTCAACTTGGTGAAGCGCAGGATCGTTCCGCGCATGCGCCGTGCGCAGGGCTTTATCCCGCTGTCGCTACGCGATGCCGTGAACTACTGGAACTCTCTGGACGGCACAAAACGGAACCTGATGGACATTTCGAAGCGGCGGTCGCCACCCAGAGTGCAGCGGCCAAGCCAGCAGTACTTTGCTACCATGAACCTTTTGCCTGAGGTGGGGATGTTGAATTGAATTGAATTGAAATACCTTAGGTTTATTGTACATTCATGCCACGGCGGGCTAGGTACAGGTCAAGACTTAACAGACAAATAACAAACGTATATAGAACAGTGGAGAAGAAAGATGCACTACTTGACTTAGACATACATTACATAATATAAGGCATATAAGAGTACTATACACTAATACATTGTACAAAGTGTTCTAGTCACTGAGCTAATATCATAAGAGAGGTCAACTTCTTCTCGCTTTTTTTTGTAATATTTAGTGTTTAGGCCACACCAATTAAATTTGTTGGTTCTCGGATTTTTTTAGAAAAAAATATGAAGTGAGAGGGTGAAAAAAAAAAAAAAACCAGGTCTAGGCATCCTATATATCATGCCAACAATAGGTATGTTACAATAGGAGCCATGAAGTCAACACAGAAGGCTAAGGTTGAAATTTAAACAAAAAAATGAATTTTTAACTTTTAATCAAAACACTCTGCATTGATAAGATGGAAAAACTGTAACAATTAGGAAGAAAAGGACTTTCCTCAACTGTTGGGGGCAAAATATGAGCATATTTGAGTTATATTGATTCAGTCTGAATAGTCAACTCATTTTGAGCGTTAATACAACTAAATAAACCCTTCTCTCTCTCTCTCTCTCTCTCCTCAGGTGATTGAGGCAGCAGCGATCTGCCGGAACACGGTCGCGCGATGCTGCCACGACCGCTCGGACTGGAGCCCGGCCGACCCCGTACCAGACGTGCACTATCGCAGCGACACAGAATCCACAGAGTCGGCGTCCGTCTGACTGGAACTTAGTAAGCAAGAGTTAAATACCTAGAGAGACTTTTTGACTCTGAACTGAACCACGTGAAAACGAGCACCAAGTGACCACGTCTAGCGATATATTAGACGTTAAACAAGGACAACAACAACAACAACAAGCAAAGTGAATCAAATTTAAAGTGATCTCAAACCAGTTTGGCTCATTGAAGAGCTTAACTGACTTCCACTGGTCGTGACAGAGAAGACACAGAGTCTGTCGCTTAGGATGTACAATATTTACAGGTTCATTGTACCATAGAAATTTCCCTATATCTTTTCCACAAGTACAATGAACAGTGGACCACGGCTTAACGTCCCGTCCTAAGGACTGCGACCCTATACACAGTAGCGTGCATGTCGGGTGAGCGACATCAGCCGGGATTCGAACTCCCAACCTCTTGGTCCAGAGGCAGGATTGCTATCCACTGGACTACGAACAACTGGAGTAAAACTTTGCTGGCAAAAGTACAAATTACGAAGTGATATTCCAGAAAAAAATGTATTATAATACAAGGGCTCCCCCAAAAGTCCAGCTGTATTCTCCAAGCAGATATTTATGTTAGGCTTGTTTTGGATATTCTAATCATGGCATTGTGTCTTTATTTTTCTTTTTTTTATCAGCTTTTCTTAACTTGAGGACAGCATGCCCAGAGAAAAGCTGAAAAATAGAAAGCCCGACAATAGAAGAAAGAAGCAAACCAAAACAAGCCTAACATCTGCTTGGAGAGTAATGCAAACCCACCTGTGACCACCAGTCTCTGGTAGCTACTCAATGGACAGAATTCCTCTTGCTTGGGAGAATATTATCTAAGGGACCAGCAAAAATTGATTGGCCACAGTGGTCAGGTAGACCTTATGCACAGGTTTGACAAAAAGAGGTACAGATATTAACATCTGTGTCCATAATATCACCAGGGTCCATAATATCACCACCTTGAGAAACAGTGTGCTTAAAGATATTTTTACTGCAACATACTTTTGGTATGCACTCCTTCACACCTCAAATGTACATACCTAGGGTATGTTGCAGTAAAAATATCTTTAAGCACACTGTTTCTCAAGGTGGCGATATTATGGACCCTGGTGATATTATGGACACAGATGTTACATTGGATGCCAGTGTCCTAAATAGTCTGTGCACAAACACAAGTCCTCAGATGTGTATATTGCAAGGTGATATATTCTTCCTGTGGTGTATTCTCAGCCCAACCAGGCTGCAACAATGATTGTACAATAAACTCCTTACTTATAACCTCAGACTGTACACTTCAAGTTCAACTCAAGTTCACGTACAAGCCCCCCACTTACCAACGTGCTGAACTTGCGGTAGATAATCATTATGATGACAATTTGTGATGATATCAGAACATAACATAATATTTCACATAGAATATCAGGATGACTTTTGTCTAGTTAAGGTACATACTAGTTGTCATCCCATTTCTTAAATTAAACAACGTTGTGCATTATTTCAAAACAAATTGTGTACCGTATCATCATTTGTTTGCATTTAATATAACAAATTGATATTGATCAGAAAATAACATATGTACACATTTACCTAGTACAAGAACATTCTGACTAACATTGACCAAATTCAATAGTTATTTTGGTGATTGTCTGATGTTTTAGAGATTCCAAACTTAAGAAAGGTGAAACAAAATTCAATTTATGGACCCCCTATATAAAACAAAGGAAGACAAACTTTGAGAAACTGACAAACATTTTTTGACTTTTGAAGATGCCTGAATTGTATTTCTCATGCAAATGGCTCAAATCTGCTTTGAAAGGGATTCATTAATAAGTTGCCAAAACTTAGCAAACTTAGCCCGGAACCCAGCCTTGTTGGCTGTAGTCCTCTCCACAAGATCTACTACCCTGCTGGTAGCAAATCTGGGGAGACTAGAATAATCCTAAAAAGGCTGGACTCTAGACTATGGCTGAGGCTCTCAATGGTGAAAAAAAACTGAGTTTGGACCTTCTTGTCTTCCTTCTGAAAAAAGTGTGAACATCCACAATCGGTGTAAACATGTACATTTCAAATGTCAACTGTTACATGAACATTAGAGTGAACATGTCCATATAATGTATTATTGAGTGTAACTTTAACACATGGACATCAGTGTGTAGCCTCTACCAGGCACCGCGGATCACTGGAAAAATAGTAGAAATTGGCCGAAATAAAGGAAAGTATACCAGAGAAGAGCCAATTCCCGTGGGTTGCAAATTGGATCTTCTATGGCTTCTATCTTCTCTGGTTTTCTATTTTTCTATCCCTTTATTACGGCCAATTTCTACTATTTTTCCAGCGATCTGCGGTGCCTGGTGGAGGCTAATCAGTGTGAGGGTCGACATGTTTTAGCTGTCAGTGAGAGATACTGGAGGTAGGTAACAAATGCTGACATACATGAAATAATAACAGTTTGTGTCATATACTGTAACAGACAGCAAAACACTAGTCTCCACCAGACTAATAATTTGGGTTTTAAAAAAAGATAAAATTTGGCCAATACTTGACTAGGGGAGTTTAGCCAGTGTTACGAGTTCATTTGCCCGCACATGCAGTTAGAGGGGGAAATCCACCAACCCTCTCGCAG